TCTTCCCTGTGAGGGTGCTGAGGCGCTGGCACAGGGTGCCCAGAGAAGCTGTGGCTGCCCCATCCCTGGCAGTGCTCGAGGCCAGGTTGGACACAGGGGCTTGGAGCAAGCTGCTCCAGTGGAAGGGGTTGGAGCTGGAGGGGCTTTAAGGTCCCTTCCAACCCAAGCTGGTCTGTCTGTGTGCTGGGGGGACGCTGGGAGATGGGAGGATGGGCTTTGTGGCTCACTGCCTGTGCCCCAGGCTGCTCCACTCCCTCACGAACCTCAAGCACGTCATCATCAACGCTGCGCATTACCTTGTGCTGGGGGACAAGGACACCTACCACCACGACCCTGCTGCTCCCTTCCTCAGCATGGTGAGCAGCCCCTGGCCCCTGCGCCCCAGCTCACGGCACCATGCTGGGGCAGTCCCTGTGCCCCTGGGGAGCACAGCCCTGCCTGCCCACCCAGTGGGGACCCAGGGGAGGGTGGGCACACCCCAGTGCTGACCGCTGCTCTCCCCAGGACGACACGCGCCCCAGCCAGGACTCCCTCCCCGAGAGAACAGTGGTCAGAGTGGACGTCTCACCCCGGTAGGGTCTGTGCCTTGCTCCGCAGACTGGGGGCAGGCACTGAATGGGTGCCTGGGACGTTGTGGGTGGTGTGGGGCAGCTGGGACGCTGTGGGGCTGGGGTGGCCATCCCTGTGTGCCCCCCAGGTTCCTGGTGGTGTTCAACCCGCTGGAGCAGGAGCGCCTGAGCGTGCTGCGGGTGCTGGTGAACTCCCCACACGTGCGGGTGCTCTCCGAGGAGGGGCAGCCCCTGCCTGCCCAGCTCAGCGCACACTGGGGCTCCGACACTGACACAGTGCCCGACATCTACCAGGTACGGGGGGCCCCAGAGCCCTGCTCTCCCCCACCCTCATCCTGCATCGCCCGTGTGTGCCAGCCCCCATCCCACACCCTGACCCCGTACCTCTGTGGCACTGCGTGGCCCTGCACCGCAGCACGAGCTCCGCTGCTTGCAAGCCCTCAGCCCCTCCATGCCAGTCCCTCAGCAGAGGCTCCCCAGGTCCTTGCCCAGCCCGCAGCCAGCGTGGCCCCGTGCCCCCGGCTCACAGCCCCGTGCCCCCGCAGGTGTCTGTCCTGGCCCGCCTGCCCGCGCTGGGCCTGCGAGTGCTGCAGCTGCGCAAGTCCTTCGAGGGCTCGGCCACGCTCCCGTCCTCCGTGCGCCTCCACCTGCCCGGCCTCCACCTGCCCATGCGCAGGCAGGAGCCTGTGCCCGTGCACGTCCTGCCGCCCGCTGCCCAGGACATCTGCCTGCAGAACCAGCACCTGCGGGCCTGCTTCTCGGGGCGCTCGGGCCTGCTGCAGGTGAGTGGGGGCTGCGCGGGGCGAGGGGCAGAGCAGTGCCTGGTGCGCAGAGCGCTCACCCCGGTGCCGGCTCCCGCCCGCAGAGCATCCGCCGGGCTGGGGAGGAGCGGGAGCACAGGGTGAGCAGCGAGTTCCTCGTCTACGGCACCAGGGCCTCCAAGGACAAAAGCGGGGCCTACCTCTTCCTGCCTGACGGCGAGGCCAAGGTACCGAGGCCACCTCTGTGCGCTGCGTGGCAGCCACATGGGAGTCCTGCAGGCGGCAGCCTCAGCGCAGCTCTCTCCCCCCAGCCCTATGCCCCCAGTGACCTGCCCGTGGTGCGGGTGACGGAGGGACCCCTCTTCTCTGAGGTCACCAGCTACTACCAGCATGTCCAGACTGTGGTGCGGCTGTACAACGCCCCAGGTGAGGCAGTGTGAGGCCGTGCGGGGAGGGCGGGGGCCCAGGGGTGCTGGGCGATGCTGCCTGTGGGGCTCAGCCCCTCCTTGCCTGTCCGCAGGGGTGGAGGGGCTGTCCCTGGATGTATCTTGTCTGGTGGACATCCGTGACCAGATCAACGTGGAGCTGGCCCTGCGCTTCAGCACTGACATCGACAGTGGAGACACCTTCTTCACGGACCTCAATGGCTTCCAGGTAGGGAGCAGCCCAGCAGGGGATGGAGCTGCCCAAGGGGGACGGTGCGCTGGTAGCGGGCATGGCCACAGCCACCTCCAGGCACTGAGCTCTGCCCCGCGGCAGATCCAGCCCCGCAGGTACCGGCGGAAGCTGCCGCTCCAGGCCAACTTCTACCCCATGCCCACCATGGCCTACATCCAGGACAGGCAGAGCCGCCTGACGCTGCACACGGCCCAGGCCCTGGGCGTCACCAGCCTCGGCAGCGGTGAGGGGGGCATGGGGCTGTGCCCTGGGGGCTGCCCTGGCAGAGGGTGCGGGGAGGAGGTGCTGCGGGATGGGCACAGGCAGCCCTGGGGTGCCCCTGCTGGGCCATGGCCGGTTCCTGCTGAAGCCCACGCTGGGACCCGCTCCCTGCAGGCCAGCTCGAGGTCATCCTGGACCGGCGCCTCATGCAGGACGACAACCGGGGCCTGGGCCAGGGGCTCAAGGACAACAAGCGGACGTGCAACCGGTTCCGCATCCTCCTGGAGCGCCGCAGCGCTGCCAGCCAGGTGCATGGGCTGGGGCTGCAGAGCGGGCTCGGGTGTGCTGAGCCCCCCCTGCGCTGGGATGGAGCAGGGTCTCATCCCCTGCTGCTCCATGGCCCCCCAGCCATTATACTGGCACCGCATGGGGCCGGGCCTGGAGTGGGGACATGGGGAGGGTGGGACCGTGCAGCGGGGCCCCTGTGCAGCCGCAGTGCCCTCATAATCAGGGTGTTCTTGTCCCATCTCCTCACTGCTCCTTATGCATGCGCCACATCACCCACTCAGAGCTCCAGCTTCTTTTCCACGCTGGCCTCCATGTTTAAAGCCTTGGGCTTCCCCGGCGCCAGGACTGGTAGCCCAGAGGTAACGGCCGGCCTGGCCCCGCTGTCTCTCCCTGTCTCGTGCAGTAGCTGCTAGCACAACCCTAGCCGGGTCCGTGGCCTGGGCACTGCAGGGGAGGGTGCTTGTGCCCAGGTGGGAGCAGCTCTGGGTGCCCGGTGCTGGCCACTGCTGCTGCAGGGGCTGTGTCGAGGCTGGGCCTGGCCCCGCAGCTCCCCTGGCTGGCGCTGAGCCCTGTGCTCTCTGGCAGGCACAGGACGGGCGCCCCATCAGCTTCCCCTCGCTGCTGAGCCACATCACATCCATGCACCTGAATGCCGAGGCCCTGGTCATGCCCGTGGCCCAGGAGAAGCCGGCCCCACCGCCCCTGCGCTCCTTCACACCCCTTTCCACCACCGTCCCCTGCGACTTCCACATCCTTAACCTGCGAACGCTGCAGGCAGAGGTGAGCTGTGCCCCGGGGGGGGGCTTGTACCCCCTGTCCCCAGCATCACTCACACCTCACCCCGGCTCCCCAGCAGGATGAATCGCTGCCCTCGGCAGAGGCAGCCCTGCTCCTGCACCGCAAAGGCTTTGACTGCAGCCTGGAGGCCAAGAACCTGGGGTTTAACTGTACCACCAGCCAGGGCAAGGTAGGACCAGGCTGATGCCTCCAGCTGCTTCTGGGTCAGAGCCAGGCTGGGTCCCAGGCTGGCCTGCTGCATCCTCTGCTCATGCAGGAGGGGGCCCAGGTCCCTCAGCACCATTGCCTCACAAACAGTGGCTGCTCAAGAGCGCAAGTGCAGCCCTGCTCTGGCCTTGCACAGGCACAGCTGGAGGATGTTGGGGCTGGAACCTTCCATAAGCCCTGCATCCCAGTGTAGTCCATCGTGTAAGGAAGGGCAGAGCCTGGGGTGGGTGGGGAGGCCAGAGGCCGACTGCTGTCACACATGTGCATGGTGCATCACTGCCCGGCGCTGCAACCCCCCACCTTCTCCCTCCTCTCCACAGCTGGCGCTGGGCAGCCTGTTCCAGGGGCTGGAGCTGGGCTCCCTGCAGCCCACCTCGCTGACGTTGATGTACCCCCTGGGCGCGGCCTCCAACAGCACCAACATCCACCTGGACCCCATGGAAATCGCCACTTTCCGCATCCGCCTGGGGTAGCGCCCCCCGGAGCCGGAGGGGAGCAGCGCGGCAGCAGCGGCACGGCTCGCAGGGGCCGGGGGGCGCTGGGCAGGAGGTGCCGGACTGCAGGGGCTGCTGCGCTCTCGTTTCTCAGCCCCGTGTGCTCGGGCGGGTGTCAGAGGGGCCGTGCTGCGGGGGGGCCGTGCTGCGGGGGGGCCGTGCTGCGGAGGGGCCGTGCTGCGGCGGGGCCGTGCTGCGGCGGGGCCGTGCTGCGGCGGGGCCGTGCTGCGGAGGGGCCGTGCTGCGGCGGGGCCGTGCCGGGGCGGGGCCGTGCAGGGGCATCGAGGCCACGGGCTCTGCAGTACCGGCGGGATGGGCATGGCTGCCCTGCTGCCCCCACACGGTCCTGCGGCAGGGCCCGTCCGTGCCGGGCTCCCCAGCTCCCGGGGCAGCGCGGTGGGGCCGGAGCTGCTGGCCAGGGGGGCGCTGTGGACTGGAGATGGAGCTCACCTGGAGCCTGTGGGAAACATGAGGCTGTTTCCGAGGGCTCTGGTCTGTGCCTGGTTTGTGGTTCCCTCGCTGGTTGCGGGAGAGTGGGCACAGTGCGCTCTGGGGAGATGCTCTGGTGCCCGAGGAGCCTGGCCACTGGTCTGCAGTGTCCCAGGGGCTGCAGGAAGCCACGTCACCAGGAGCATCCTCCCGGTTGCTGTGGGGACCCAGTGGCTGCTGCACTGCTCGGGCCCCTCTGGGGCTCATTACTGCTGAGGGGAGCCCAGGGAGAGGCGGGCAAGGACATGGTGCTGGATAAGCTTTGTCTTGGTTTCCTGCACAGCCTCCAGCATAGCCCACAAACCATAGCCCATGGGCATGGCCCTGAGGATGAGCAGAGACCATGGACCAGTGCAGATGGACCCCGGCAGCTCAGCCCCTTGCACCCTTGGCCAGCCAGGCATGGGGCAAGACCCAGGCATGAGGCAAGACCCAGGCGTGGGGCAAGAGCCGGGCCTGGTGCACAGCTTGTGCTGCCAGGGCCATGCCGGAGCCTGGCTAATGGCACAGCTGGCGGGGGGCCAGGCTGCGGCCCAGGGCCCACCAGGGCTGGGCTGCCGAGGGGCTGCAGCCCAACCTGCCATGGTCCAGCCTCACCCGCTGCTCTCAGCCGCAGCACCGGGATCCCCAGCCAGGCGGAGGCGCCCAGCCGGCACCCATGGCCCCAGTGCCTGGTGGGGAGGGTGCCTCCTGTCTGCTCTTGGCCCCCGAGAAGCTCATTAGTGATGCTCCCGCCTCCCGGCCTGGTCCCTGTGGACCGGGCATCGAGTGCAGGAGGCTCTAATGGCTCCAAGTGGCTCTTGATGGGCCGTGATGGAGGCGGGAGAGGAGGGGCTGTGGTTTCTGCCTTCCCCGGAGCCAGACCTGCTGCTGCTCAGGGTCAGCCGGGAAGATGCCGAGTGGGCTCCTGCTCCGGCTGCTGCTCGCCATGGCGCTGTGCCCCGAGCTCTGCGGGACAGGTACAGCCCCACTCCCTGAGCCCGTCCTCCCCATCCCTACCGGGGCCGTGTCCCTTGAGGGCTGCTCCCACCAGCTGGAGCCTGGGTCCATGCTGGGGCGCGGTGATCTGCACTGGGGGGGTTGGTGCCGGGGTTGGCCCCTGCACTGCACAACTGTGGGGTGAAAAGCGCTGACCCCAAGCTGTGGGGAGGTGGGGACAGGAGGGGATCAGCACGGGGAGATCGGGGCTACCCTGGGCCTTTCCCCTCCCATCTGCCACCATCACCCCCCTCGCCCATGTTTGCCCTTGCCGGGGTCAGGGCGAGCACCAGAGGCCACGGCACAGACGGGGCAGTGCCGGGTGAGGCCGTGCTCAGCTGTGACCTGAGCCCAGCCCAGGGCTGAGCCAGGGGCCCCCATGGGGCTGGGGTGCTCCTGCCCTGGAAGGGTCCCATCGCTGGAGCGGCCGCCGGCACCTCCACCCCCTGAGGGCAGGGGGGAGCCTCCGCAGCGGGAGCTGAGCCCCGGCTCCTCACCGCAGGATCGGTGCAGAACCTGCACCTCTGCGAGGGCTACGCAGGCCCCGACGGCCGCTACCACCCCGGCTTCTACTGCCCGCGGCTGACAGACCCCGCCAGGCACCGCTACTGCTGCCGCCCCGGCCCGCGCACGCTCAAGTCCTGCTGCGCCCAGGAAGCCCTGGAGGCCCTCACCGGGGTGAACGTCTCCAGCCTGGCCAGCGCCGGCCTCCTCCGGTGAGCAGGGCGGTGCGGACCGGGGCCGGCGGCAGCGTGGGCCCTGGGCTCCCCATGGTGGCTGGCACATGGCTCTGCCCTTCCAGCCCGGAGCCCAGAGCTGGCCCCAGCCGTGCCCGCTCGCTATGGGGCGCTGCTGCCCTGGTGGGGCCCTGTGCTTGAGGTGCCCCCTCCTGCAGGAACCCCCTGGCGCTGCCCTTCGTGGGGCTCTACGGGCTCCTCATCCTCCTCCTCATGGCCATCGACCTCGTCCACTTCTACCGCACCCGGCACTGCCGCCTCGGCCGCCTCCTGCCCTGGGGCCGCCGCCTGCCCAGCAGCCTCCCGGGGGGGCACCGGCTGCGGTCCCGCTCCCCGCAGCCCCGCGGCACCGGGGCTCCCGGGCGGGGCTGCTGAGGGGGGTGGGAGGGGTTGCGGGGGGGGGGTGCAGGACAGACACACACAGACACACATACACAGAAACACACACACAAACACACACACACATGCACACACACACACAGACACACATACACAGAAACACACACACGCACACACATGCACACACACACACACAAACACACACACACACATGCACACACACACGCACACACACACAAACTCCCACACGAGGTCGCACGTGCTCGGTACCAGCACCGCCGGGCCGCGGGGGGGCGCTACAGCCTCCTCCCGCCCCTCCCACGGCCCCGGCCCCGGCCCCGTCACGTGACACGGGCGGTGGCGTCCGCGTTCCCCGGGCGATCGGCAGAGACGTCACGGGCGCGGCGAGAGAGGCGCGATGGAGGCGGCGGCGGTGGGAGCGCGGGACGGGAACACGGCAGAGCGGGGAGGGAGGGGACGGGATGGGATGGGACGGGAACGAGACGGGACGGGAACGAGACGGGTAGCACAGGGGCGAGACCGGACGGGACGGGGGGGGACTGGCTGCTGGGGGGGGGCGGCTGTGCGGGGGTTTGGAAGGGGGCAGCTCCGGAGGGGCCGGCTGCCGGTGCCCGGTGCGATGGGGGCCGGCTGCCGGTGCCCGGTGCGATGGGGGTCGGCTGCCGGTGCCCGGTGCGACGGGGGCCGGCGCCCAGGGCCCGTCCTGGGGCAGGCGATGGCAGCGGGGCCGTGTCCCGGGGCAGGCGCCCTTGCGGAGTGCCCCGGCGCGCCTGTCCCAGCCGGTGCCCGTCGGCAGGTGACGGCGGGGCAGCTGCGGGAGCGGGGCAACGCGCAGTTCCAGGCGGGGGACCACGCCGCGGCCCTTGCCGCCTACACCGAGGCGCTGAGCCTGTGCGAGGCCGGGCCGGAGCGGGCCGTGCTGCACCGCAACCGCGCCGCCTGCTACCTGAAGCTGGTGAGAGCGCGGCGTGTGCGGCACCGGGCGCTGCGGGGACCTGCCCGGCCGCCCCAGCCTGTCGGGGCTGCCCGGGCCCTCCGCCCCCGTGGGCTCCTCCTCCCGCCGGAGGGAGGCCCTGGCGGTCCCAGGCTGGGCAGTGCCGGGTGTGTTCCCTGCGCACCTTTTCTCCCTGCTGCCCCACATCCCGGGGGGGCTCCTGGGGCCAGGACAGAGTGATCCCCTCCATGCCTGGGCTGGGGGCGTGCTCTGGGCTGCTCTGCCCACAGCCACAGCATCTCTGGTCTCCCACTGTGGGGCTGTCTCTGAGGGAGGAGGGGAGCGCAAGGAACTTGGGGGGCTTTAGCGGGCCAGGAGCACTTGAGAACCGCCAGGGGCCATAGGGCTCCTTGGGAACGCCATGAGGGTTGTGTCTGGGGAAGGATATGGCATCCTGCTGGGCTGATCACTGTCCCCTGGCCTCTGTTCCCATCTTCCAGAATCACAGTCCTCTCCCAGCTCTGCTCTGTAAAGCAGTGGGTGCTGCCCCTGCCCACCCCAGGCCGAACCCAGCGAGGCCTCACATCAGGCGTTTTCCTCTCCATTCTCTCTCTGCAGGAGGACTACACCAAGGCGGAGGCTGACGCGTCCAAAGGTACTGTCAGTGGTGGCTGGCGGGGAGCGGCCCCTGTGCACCGCCCACGTGGGCACTGGGGAGCAGGAGCAGGAGCAGGAGCAGGAGCAGCCCCCTCTTCCTGCAGCCATCGAAGCGGACGGGCGGGACGTGAAGGCGCTGTTCCGCCGCAGCCAGGCGCTGCAGAAGCTGGGCCGCCTGGACCAGGCTGTCAGTGACCTGCAGCGGTGCCTGAGCCTGGAGCCCAAGAACAAGGCCTTCCAGGAGGCCCTGCGCGCCCTGGGCAGCAGCATGCATGAGAAGGTGAGCGGGGAGGCAGCGTGGGGGCTGCCCCGTGGGTGTGGAGGGCTGAGGGAGGCGGCGAGGGCCGAGCTGCTCTTTGTGCTCTGTCTCAGATGAAGACCATGTCCTGCACGGACTCAAAGGTAGAGCAGATGTTCCAGATCTTGCTGGATCTTGAAGAAAGTGATGCGGACAAGAAGCAAAAGGTTTGAGCTCTGGGGAGCGGAGGCTTGGCTGAAAGGCAAGGGGGGAGGAAGGTGTTCCCAGGTCAGCACTGCTGGCTGAATGGTGCTGCCGGGGTGAGGATGGGCTTCCCACCATCACATCCCCTCCTCTTTTGGGTGGCTGCCTTCAGACGTGACTCTCCCCCCCCAGGCTGCGCAGAACCTGATCGTGCTGGCACGAGAGGAGGCCGGCGCAGAGAAGATCTTCCAAAGCGATGGTGTGCGGCTGCTCACGCAGCTGCTCGACACAGCCAAGGCCGACCTGATGCTGGCAGCCCTGCGCACGCTGGTGGGGCTGTGCTCCGGGCACCGCTCCCGGGTAGGTCCTACCAGAGCTCAGCTCTCGTGTGGGACAGGGGAAATGGGTGCCGGGGAGGCTGCCGAGTGTGACAGGCAGGGGGGTGGCACCGGCCTCTGCCTGCAGCCCTCTGGGCTCTCACCTGCCAGGCCTGAGACTGTGAGAGCCTTGTTGTAACTGGGAACTGTCCCAGTGAGGTGATGGGAAGCTCCACGGCTCCCCCAGCTCTCCAGCTGACAGCTGTGCTTGTGCTTGCAGACCACAGCCATCCTGGCGGAGCTGGGGGCCCCTCGCCTCTCGGCAGTGCTGGGTGTGGAGCACGAGCAGGTTTCCCTGGCTGCCTGCAACCTTCTGCACGTGATGTTCGACTCCTTGAAAGAGGGGCTGCAGAAGGACTTCCGAGGCAAGGAGGATGCGGTGGTGCTGGGTGAGTGCTGCTGCTGCAGCGCCAGGGCTCTGGCCAAGGGTTAACGCGAGGTTGAGCTGGAATTTGGGAGCCCGTGGTCATGGCAGCATCTCCTGCCAGCCCTGCCCTGGTAGGGTGAGGCCTGTGCCGGGGGTGCTCACTGCTGGGCACTGTCTCTTCTGGAAGATTCCGCCAAGGACCTGAAGCTGCTGATCAAGCACCTCCTGGAGCTGCTGGCTCTGGAGGGGGCCTCTGCGCATGGCCGTGACAATGCCCTCAACCTGCTCATCAAGGTGGTGCCCAGGAAGTCACCAAAGGAGACCAACAACAGCATGAGCCTGTGGGTGATCGACCAGGGTGAGCAGAGGAGCCTGCAGCATCCCTCCAGGCATCGCGCCCCTTTGCCTCGGCTCTGCTGGCGCGGAGGGGTGTGTGTGTGAGCTTGCCTTCTCCTAGGCCTGAAGAAGATCCTGGAGGTGGGAAGCACCGTGTGTGGCAGCCCGGGCAGCCTGCCCGTGACGGACAACACTCGCATGAGCGCCTCGGTGCTGCTCAGCAGACTCTATGATGACCTGAAATGTGATGCTGAGAGGGAAAACTTCCACCACTTGTGCAAGGACTACGTGAGGTGAGCCTGGGCATCCCCAGGGCATACCCGGGGCAAATGGGGTCCGGTCTCATGCAGCAGCACCCCCATCCCCAGACGGTTTTGCTCTTAGTGCTAAAAGCAGGTTGTGAGTTCCACCAGTGACCGGCTGTGCTGGGTGCAGCAGCTGGGGCTGTGTGTGGCTGGAGGCAGTGGGAGGCATCAGCCTTACCCCTCCCTGGTGTTGTTGCTGCGCAGGAGCTGGTTCGAGGGGCAGGAGCTGGTGGGGAAGCTGCGGGCCATCCAGACAGTGTCGTGCCTGCTGCAGGGCCCCTCGGACGCTGGGAACAGGGTGCTGGAGCTGGAGGGGATCATGGAGAGCATCCTGTCCCTCTGTGCCTCGGTGCGCGAGGCCCACCAGCTGGTGGCTGTGGAGGCGCTGATCCATGCAGCCGACAAGGCCAAGCGCGCTTCCTTCATCACTGCCAACGGCGTCAGCCTGCTCAAGGAAATCTACAAGCACAGCGAGAGGGACAGCATCCGCATCCGGGCGCTGGTGGTGAGCACGCTGCGGCTGCGGCAGGGCCTGGGGCTGCAGCGCGGTCCCCCTGTGCCGCGGGCTCACGTGCGCTGCTCCGGGCTGCAGGGGCTCTGCAAGCTGGGCTCTGCCGGGGGCACCGACTTCAGCATGAAGCAGTTTGCCGAGGGCTCCACGCTGAAGCTGGCCAAGCAGTGCCGCAAGTGAGTGGTGGGGCAGGGAGTGGGGGCGGGGGGGCCGCAGCCGTGCTCATGGCCCCTTGCAGGTGGCTCTGCAACGAGGCAATGGATGTGGGCACGCGGCGCTGGGCTGTGGAGGGCCTGGCCTACCTCACCTTCGACGCCGACGTCAAGGAGGAGCTGGTGGAGGACAAGGCAGCGATGCAGGCCATGTTCCAGCTGGCCAGGGTACGTGCCCGGCGCTGCGGTGGGCTCCATTGCTGCGGGAATGTGCTCCAGGGGGTGGTGGGGCTCACACTGTGGGGCTGGGGACTGTGGAAGGGCCTGGTGGTGCTGGCGGGGCTCAAGGCCTGCCCGGTCCTCTCCATCGTGGGTGTGATGGGCGCCCTGTTACCCTGCAGTCGGAGGACAGGAGCGTGCTCTACGCTGTGGCCTCCACCCTGGTGAACTGCACCAACAGCTACGACCATGAGGAGCCGGACCCCCAGATGCTGGAGCTGGCCAAGTACGCCAAGCAGCACATCCCAGAGCAGCACCCCAAGGTGGGCCGGGCACAGTGCCCCTCGGGAGCGTGCAGCGGGGCAGAGCCCGGGATCCTGAGGGGGACAGGGTGTCCCTGAGGCCTTCAGGGGTGAGGCTGGGGAGCTCACAGAGGATGGCCCCAGGTGAGTGCCAGCGAGCTGAGCGCTGACCCTGCCTCTGGGCCAGGACAAGCCGGACTTTGTGAAGCAGCGGGTGCGGAAGCTGCTGCGGGCAGGGGTGGTGTCGGCTCTGGCCTGCATGGTGAAGAGTGAGAACCCGGCGCTCACCAACTCCTGCCGGGAGCTCATCTCCAGGTATGGGCGAGCTGGGGGGACAGGGAGGGAGCTGTGCCTGGGGGCTGCCGGTGCCCTGCAGCAGCCTCTGTGCCTGTGCGGAGTGCAAGCTCGGGGGA